CCGCACCGAACCGAACCCTTAAAAGTGGTCGCAAGTAACTAAGCAGCTAATGCCACAAAGAAGTGCCACGATGGCAAATCAAAAAGGTTTCACTAAGCAGCAAGCAAATATGCTTCGAAGGGCATTGATTTTATGCCACCAACAGGCGAGGGGGAAACAAGTCCTTACGCTCCCTACCACCACTAATACTGTTGCAGACGTTGTTGTTAGTGCTAGTCTATAACAGTCGGGACACATTGCAAAACGTTTTGTTTACTTAACGACATCTTTGTGACTGTTGCCCACAACTATTTACAAAATTGAGACACCTACGGCGCAGTCCATTATAAAAGGCTCTGTTGGAGCTGTAAAACAAAATATTTACACGCGTTCGAACATAAAAGCTCCAGAGCACGCAACACCGTGGCAAGCGAGGCGCAGCAAAAAGATGTTTCCTAACCACACACATACACACAAACACGCACAAGAGGGTTCCTTTTGAGTGCCATCCCACCACCTAGCCACGGACACACTTGCGCCAAGGACATGCGAACGAAACATTAAAGACAAGACGCGGCTCCTACGCGCTGAGTGTGCAGCAAACATTAAACTGTCAGACAAAATGATGCCCGCAAAGTATTTGGCAGGCACAGGACTCTGATCGTCCTTCGGTGTGCACGTCTGCTCGCTGCTTTTAGTCTAAATAAAGGCATTTAAAAGATTTAGAACAAATGAACCAACCTAACCTCAAGCGCCATTTACGGCATACAATTTTTGTCAACCCTAATGGGTAGCGCTTGATACGTATATTGGGGCCCAGAAGGTGATACACTCAAAGAAAATTCAGATGCAGTCATATTCATAATTGCCTACAAAGTACAGTTCTATTGTTATTCATAACAAATTATCTTTTTAATCATCAGTTTTTTAGCCTTAATACAAATTAATTTAATTAATTTGTTAAAAAGCATTGTATATTATTCAAGAGTCCAGAAAATATAAAAACAGAAAATACAAATGTATGTATTCAAGATTAGCAGCTAAGGAGTATTAGTATACTATAGTTAGAAGGCCCCACAAAGTATTGTTAATCAACATAACTAGCTGATTCGATAGAGATACTTAAACGGAAAGTATAAACTCTATAAGTATTCATTTTTTCTTTATTTTGAGAAAATACATTGGCGCAAAGTGTATAAATTATTTGTTGAGTGTATGGGGGCTTGCCACATAAAACAAAAGACACGCATGGCGGTCTGTCAGCCCATTTGTCTGTCTATCTGCGTTTGCCTCTTTGGGCCTTTACCATTGCCTGTCTCTTGTCCTGTGTGACATTTTTATGGCAAATTTAAGACACGCAACTTCTTTTGCGCTGTTGTTGGGTGATTTGTCTGCCTGTCCCGTTCTGTCAGCCTGCGCTTTAATTTCTTTGATTGTTCCTTGCCTCTGAATGACAAAATGACGCAAATAAAATTTTGTTGTGCATTTCCTGCCAACCACTGTCAGCTGCCTCTCTCCTTTGCTCCATCTCTCTCTCTCTCTCTCTCTCTCTCTTCCACAGCATCTCCCTCCAGCCCTATATTCGGACGCCTTACTCTGCGTGCACGTAATTGCTTAATTTTTTATGTTTTTCTCTTGATTTTATTTTATTTATTACGCGTTTGCCTTTTGGCTTTTGCCGCACTTGCAGATTTGCTGTTAATTTTTGCTCTTGATTTTTATCGCCCAGCGCTGACGTTAATTAAGTTATTAAGACTGCCTTGCTTCACACACGAGTATGCATGCTTTTATGATATGGCGGGTATACTAGTATATGTATATATGTTTTATTGCTGGGTCTAGATCAAGACATTTGATATTATCCCCACAAGGGACAATGCGCTTGCTGATTAAGCTTTTAGCTAATTGAATGCCACAGCCATTAAAGAGGTATTTTCTTAATTAAATATTTATTATTTTATGCCATTGTTCAGACTGTTAGCTACATAGTGTTGTCTGTTTACATCATGATAATGGAAAAAGGCTTGTAGTATAATAGTATTCGAATATTTATCAAACTGAGAATATTTTACAAATTCATCCGCTAAATTAGAAACTATTTTCAAAGTTAAAAATGTTTAATGTTTTTATCAAAATGGAGATTTCAATGCATAGTTCCATAGAAAAAATACGTACAGTTTTCATAATAAGTAATTTCTATCGCAATAAATAAAAAGAAAAAAATTCAAAATTTCAATTTTATATTTTATCAATTTCTTAAATATATATTTCATATGTTGAAATTATAACTAAATCTACAACACCACTTTTGAAAATTTTCTTCCTGGTTTAATAACAAAATAAAATTTCAAGCTATAAATTAAAAAAAAAAGAAAAACTCTAAACATATCTTATAATAATACTATCTACATATTTTAATGTTAAAATATGAATCTCTTCTCTTTCGATGGAGAGGTAATAATTTCTCCTATAAAATATGCCTGATTTAAGTTTTCTTGAAGCATTTAAATAGCAAAAAGTTTATTTTTTTATATACGGTATATAAAAGCATTTTTGAATATTGTTGCTATTCATTTATTGACTTAAATATAGACTTAAAGACTTTTTCCGGCTAGTTACCAAAACAGGCAAGAGAAATGGAGTATATAACTGCACTTGGAGCAAGTCATTTTCCATTTTGACTCAAAACACTCCAATTTGCATTAAAAATAAATATAGTCTTGAGTCATAGCTATGCCATGCATAAAAATGAAGCATAGACATGAGCGTGGATGACAGAATGCATAATTCAGAATGTCGGTCTAGTCGGCAAAAGCCGAAGTGGCAGAAGAATTGCAATAAACAGGATTGCAAAGCCATGCAGGATGAAGTACACTAACAAATGTTGAAGTTTTTGATGGCAACTAAATGGAAGAGAACAAATATTAATTTATAAATGAATATCTTTTGAGATAGAGTCGGCGCAGCAGAAAAAACTGAAAGAATAAGTGATTGAAAAAGTAAATGTTTAGTTTTAATTTAAATGGGAAAGGCAAACATTTTGAATGCGGGTCAGGGTCTCTGAATTGACAGCATTGCCAGTTATCTGCCGAGTTGACGAAATGAGCGGCACGCACAAATCCATTTAGAGATACAAAATAACGATATCTAATTATAGGGGTGCACGCGGCCAAAAGGATTTTGCATCAGTGGGGTGATAGTTATGGTGACTTGGCACACACGCACCTCAAGCAGCCATGCGACCACGCTGGAAACTAACAGCTCAAAATTACACAAGCATTCAAGACAATTAACCACTTATGTATGTTTAAACAAATTTTGAGTGCATCTGCCTCTGCCTTCCCAACGTGGGAATAATCACAAAAACAACAACATGAACAAAATTAACAGGCAGTCAGTCAGGAAGGCAGTCAGCGAGTCTGTCGGGGTTGGCAGCCGTCTGGTCGACGCACTGCAGCAATGCGCTGAAGTTTAAGTGAAAAACTTTTTGTTTTCGCCGTAAAACTTTTGCAACGCGCAGCGCAAAAATTGCACCCAACAGCAAAAACAATGACAACAACAGGCAGCAAATCACAGAGAGCACAGAGTATCAGGAATTTTAACCAAAAACAAACGGCAAACAACGCGGTGACATTGATTTTTACAACACCCAAGGCAGGACCATGGTACGTAACCACAAATGGCAGCTCAAGCCATCATTAACACGCACGCCCAAGTACCGCCCACACCTTCGCCCCCAGCCTGGGCTCCGACTTGGCCCAAAACAAAGTTAAGCAGCTTAGCGCAGTTGCATGCCAAGCGGAAGCAAAGAACTAAAAAGGACATTACACTCAGGACATGCACATACCCACACACACACACACACACACACACAACTACGAGTACAATGTAGCCGGCCAGTCAACTATCCAGGCAGGCTACTTGCAATTAAAGCCAAAGTAGTTTTGCCTTTTTAAAATAGTTTCCTTTTTGGCAAAGACGTCTGACTATCTGGCTACCAGTATCACCGGGTGGGTGCGCTGCTAGAGGAAGTGGCAGAAATGTAGCAATTACTTTAATTATTGGCGGCAGGAAATGGGTTGACAGAGGGACAGACAGCTGGACAAATGGACGAACAGTTGAATAACTTGAAGAGTCAGCAAAAAACGCGAAATTTCTTAAGAGACGAGGGCTGATTTAAGAAATCCGTACAATTTGTAATGACTATTAAAAACATTATTATTTTACAATCAATACCTCATTAGTGATCAACAATGGGCTGAAAAAAATATATTTTTCACATAAAATGTTGCTTGATTAGGATCGATCTTCTTAAATCTTCTTTCCTCCCTTGCTCAATAGTGCATTTCAATTAAAAACTCGAATTTAAGCAAGTAAAGAAGCTAAAGTCGGGTGTACCGAAATAGAAATTTAAAAAAATAGAAATTAAAAAAAAAAACAAGAGAGAACGCAAGCAAGCTCGACTGTAAAATACCCTGTACCCAGACAAACTTCCGGCACTAAGTTATATGCGCCCCTAGTAGAAGCAAAAAGAAGAAGAGCGAACTTAATCCTGCAGTTCGTAGGCTTAGTACTGGAGTGAATAACTAATAACTTAAACCATTTTTAAGAATCGACCGATTTAAATGAACCAAAAGTAGATGAAATTGATTGTGCCAAGTTTGGTTAATATAGCTTTGAAATGTGTAACAAAAAACAAAAAGATGTTGTTGTCAAATTAAATTAACAAAGTAGGTAAGTTGTTATGTGCCTACTCAAATTTTATTTGAATTCAGTCTACTTGAAGCAACACAACACACACAAGCTCCAAAATACTTTTTTTTTTCACCTGAACCAAAAAAATATAAATTATAGAAATACAAAATTTATGTTTCAAATATTTCAAAAAGTCAGGCTCTTAAGTTAAAAAATTAATATATGTATAAGTATATCTAAGAAAGAATAAGTAAGGAATGTGAATACCTTTGTACTTTACATGAATAAAAACAAATAAAATTAAAACTTGATTCCAGCATCAAGATGTGCCCCCCAAAAAAACATTGTTGTTGTTGCGAGCCACCAGGTGGATCACTGACCATTGCAATCATAGATTGGTTTTTGGTGGCGTTCCACATTTTTTTTGTTATTTGTAAGTTCACATGCTATACTTTGGTGCATAGGTGAATCGAAGTGTGCATCGCATTGAAAGATTTATATACATACTTTAAGGGTGAATAATAAGTATTGTCCTTCTCGGTTCTTTAGTTTTGTCTTTTTTTAAATTTATTTACAGTTTAGAAGTCTCTAAATTCTGTGTATCTACTTAGGCAATCATATTTGCGTACGCCTTTTCCTTCTTAGCTCATCTTTTTTCCTCCCTTTTTATACCCTGTACCCGTAGGGTAAAAAGGGTATATTAGGTTTGTGCAAAGTATGTAACATACAGAAGGAAGCATCTCCGACCCCATAAAGTATATATATTCTTGATCAGCATGACGAGAGAAATCGATCTAGACATGTCCGTCCGTCTGTCCGTCCGTCTGGATGAACGCGAGGATCTCAGAAACTATAAAAGCTAGAATAACCAAAGTTGGCATCCAGTTTCTCCTAGGTCCGAGTAAGGACGAGTTTATGTTTTTTTTTTTAATTTTCCCCCCCTTCCCCCGTTACAGAATTTCGTCAATAGCGTCCACATTTCAAATGCTACCTAAACCAAACTTTGCACACATAATTAATATATAATTGTCTACTGTTGTATAAATGTTGTATATATTCAATTCGGTCAATTCTAAGAAAAGTTATTAGCAAAACAAATTCTCCCCAGTACAACCCCCCCAAACTGCAGCAACAAGTTCGCTCTTCTTCTTCCTCTTTTTGCTGCTGCTATGGGCGCATATAACTCAGTGACGGAAGTTTACCTGGGTACAGGGTATTACACTGTCGGGCTTGCTCGACTGTAGCGTTCTCTCTTGTTTTTAAGTTGTCAAGTTGTTCTTTTCTTTTAAGATGTTATCATATTGATCGCTTACGAATTTTCTTGAGTTAACCTAGTATTTTTTGTGTGTATGATTTTTCTTAGTTTAAGTGATTTATAATTTATTGATTTGTTTTACATATCATTGCATTTTTTACAAATGTGTAAACGTCATAGCCATTGACACTAAACATATTACAGCATTAAGACAAATTCGATCAAACTGGCTGGTTGCTCTGTGAAGAGTATGTCGATTTGATCCCATTTGTATAAAAGCCTGCATATTAGTAACCAACTAAATATTTATATTTATATTTATGTAAATACATATATATGTATATATACTTGTATAACTCCACAGTGCATATATTAGGAAATACCAAATCGGTATTCTCGTATATAGCCTTAATTGTATACTTTGCCCATTGCATAGGATGTACACTGGTAATAATATCATATTTCTGGGTATGTAACAATATTAATTGAAAGATATCAGATTTCAAAATAATAAATACGTTTAATCACATTACAGCGAAAGAAGGTACTACCCATGATTTATTTAATTACTGGATTTTTTCGCCTTTTTTTAATAATAATTTCCACAATTATAAATATCATAAACCTGACATGTATAATACCCCTGATATTTATAATATTTCAATTAACAGTGATTGGTAAATATTTATTAGTAAGGAGTATTGAAAATTAAATTAACATCTCGACATACTATGACAGGTCTAGGTATTTACTTCTGGATATGCATTTACTTCTGGTACAAAGCTCTACGTAGCTCGGATGAACATTGATTTCCCATTGAGAAAATAATGTGCAGTTCAGTTGATAATAATTAATATATGTACTCTTAATCATGCGGGATCTCAAGAAACTTGATATAAATTGACATATGTATATCAAAATTAAACAAGTGAAGAAGCTAAACTCAAGTGTGCCGACTTTGAAATAGTCTGTACATGTATGTAGAATAAATAAAATTCAAACAAGAGACAAGCCCGACAGTGAAATATCCTGAACCCAGACAAACTTCGGGCACTGTGTTATATACGCCCCTAGCAGTAGTAAAAATAAGAAGAAGAGCGAACTTGATGCTGCAGTTTGTGGGCGTAGTACTGGAGTTATATTGATTCGCTCATAACTTTTCTTAGAATTGACCAATTTGGATGAAATTTGAAACAAAAATAAATAATTGCATACAAATTATGCGTCGACGCTTTCGAAATGTGGACAGTATTGACAAATTCTATAGCGACGGAAGGGATAACAATTTCAAAAAAATAAAATAAACTCTTCCTTTCTCGAACCTGGGAGATTCCAGCTTTTATACACGTAGCTCTTCAGATCCTTGCGTTCATCCAGACAGACTGACGGATATGTCTTGATCGATTTGTCTCGTCATGCTAATTAAGAATATACATATACACTTTATGGGGTCGGAAATGCTTCCTTCTGCATGTTACATACTTTGCACAAACCTAATATACCCTTTTTACTCTACGTATATAAATATACCAATTCATCTGTCATCATCCCATGAATATCTTGTTCTTACCTTCTCAGACATATCTGTATATTATTGTTGCCTTCAAGGTGTAGCTGAGCCTTGACTTTGATTTCCAATTGAACAGCACCTTTTATTGGTTCTTGTACACATAATTAGGTATATTGTTCTGCCTAAACTAGAGAGCTTGTTATGAATTTCATTCGCTACGAAGCACTTATGAGATATACTATACATAGATTTTTTCTTTATTATACTATAATGCCATGCGATTGAAAGTTTGGAAATTCGAAAAGAAAAATGTATACTAAAAGTTTTCTCAATAAAAGTATTAGCTATCGATTATCTGACTAACTTTTCAAACCACCTTCGCATAGTGGCAAGGAATTTTTGTAATTTGCACGTTTCGAGTCACGCCGACGCCCTTTCAATTACATGCCCAACTACAGCTACATGCATACAAATACATATACATGCATACATACGAAAGTTAACTTTGATTTCTTTTTTTGTGTCTACGCTGCTCATTGCATACTTTTTGGCGCTTTGGCACTGATTTTCGCGTTTTCGCGTTTTCTTGCTTTGCTGCGCTTTGCTTTCCTTCACTCCTCTTTGTCGTGCTTGACGTCACGTAAAAAATAACTAAACCCCCGCTGTGCCCGCCCAAGGTGTCAGTCAATGTGCGTTTCTGGCACGCCCAGAAACTGATTTTTTTTCCCCGTTCTGTGAGTGTTCGTTTCTATTTTGTTTTTTTCCAAATTGTTTGCACGCTTTCTATGCAAACTTTAATCATGATAAATGAATACAATTGCTGCTGTTTGGGCAGTAGTGTTTGTCATTGTTGTTGCGTGGCAATTAACTTTTGCTTTTGAGTATTTCATACATACCATTTTTTTTATTGGAATGCATTTTTCTACCACCAACAGGCACGCGATCATTTTTTCTAAAGGGCATGGGTGGGAAAAAATCATAAATAAAGCTGTCAATGACGTAGGGAGCAAATATTTGTTAGGTAGGTAGGTAGGTAGAGATTCTGAATGAAAGCAACCCGCATTCCACTGGCCAGCCTGCTGGATTACTCCCTTTTTTATATTTTGTTGACAGCATCTAAAAACTCGACTCATATAGCCTAGCACTGTTTGAAAATTGATTCATATGACAGTCAGGGCTGCATAAATGGCTCATTGTTGCATCTTATTGACAGCACCGGCATGAATTGTCAATCAAAGCACTAATTCTTTATAGTTTCTACCATATTCCTCGCACAGTTGAGTTAAGTCTTGTGCAACCTTGAAAGAAGAAAACCAATCAACGTTCCTGCTCTAATATTTGACGTTTGCATTGTCGTCGACTTTGGCTGTCGATCTGACCGGTCCCGGTCCGGATCTCTCTTTGCTGAATGCTGAATGGCTGCCAATGCTCCACTGCAGCCAATTTGTCCGGATTTCGGCTACAAGATAAGCGGCTTAGTTGGTTATAAATGGAATGGAAACTGGCAGCCAAGGCTCGTTCGTGTTTATATAAGATGATGACTGCGATGATGACGCCGATGATGACGTTGCATGCAAGCGATTTGGAAAATCAGATTAATAACTTGGACTGCTTGTGGGTTAGGTATGTTCGAGTAGAGAGTTAAGTGTCGACATACAGCACAGCGCTTATTGAGGCTTAAACTCATTTCCTTCTATTGCTGATAATTGGCTCACCTAGATGGAGACTGAGATACTCGTACGCAGAGCGCCAGACAGGTAAATACGCAAAGCATAAGTTTGAGTTTGTCGACGAGTATTTGACTAGCTGGTGGCTCTTCGTGGGTGTGTGCACTTTTTAATTAAAATTTTCGCTGCGCTCTTCAGTTTAATTTAAAAAAGAAAAAATGAAGAAAAAAGAAATGGGTATTTAAAGGGGTTTTGTTAGCCCACGTGTACGTGAGGAAATTCAATTTAACTTATAATTGATTTTTAGACAAAAAAAAAAAACACGCACACACACACTTCCAAATACTAACTCAATAATCGTATCGTATTAATATAGGGAAAGCTTCGAAAAGTTGATAATTGACATGGGTTCGAACGATTATTTTGCATGTTCTGCTATTTCTAATTCTAAAACAATATTTGAGTTAAGCAAATTAAACAAAACAAATTAATATTAATATTCAAAAGTTCGGACATAAGTTTGAATTTTTATTTGAATTCAATCTTTTTACTCTTGATCGATCTCAACAGTATTATAAAAGGTATATTTTCAATAATCCGAGCAATTTTGCGCACAGAAAGCTTTGATTCAATGACTAAAACCAAAATTAACAAAAATATTTACATAAGTCATAATATTTAATCATAAATAAAATAAAAAATGTAAAAAAAATTGTACACGTAGAAAAAAAGAAAATATTCCGCTCTAGGTCGAAAATAAAAATACATATACACTGTTATTTTAATACACCCAAACTAACTTATAACTTGGATAACATTATAACTTATAGTTCGACAAAATCGAATATAATGTATTTTAAAAAGCGAACTACAACTTCATTACAATCATATACATTTTTCAATGTTACAGCAATAATTTACATATTATTTATATGCTATGAATTCATTTGTTTGCAAATGTCCTAGAAAACCAGCTTAAATAGTCATGTGAATACCAACAAATGTTCAGAATATTATTAATTCAAGGGACTAGTTGTTAGTTTACTAATTTTCCACAAACAACTTTCAGTTGTTTAATCAAGCATGTTGACATTAAAGCTGTGCAGCAAATCTTAAGGACATTTCCATATGTGTAGCTACTTCCCAGTCATGCCTAACCGAATTTTTGACAACTTGTCAGATGGTCTGTGAACGGCGACGACACCGAATTATGCAGAACACATGAGCATAAAAGTTAATCAATGAAATTACTTGCAGCATTCGCACAACATCAGCACAAAATTTGGATTGAGCTCAGCCTTGGGACCAGTCCCTTGGCCACCTTTGCGACGGCACATGCACAATTCCGATTGCCCTGTCCAGGTCCCAAAACAATCAGCTAAGCACATTTTATTTTCGCCAGCAGAAGCAGGAAACACACACCCATACATATATACACACACACACACACACATAGTAGCAACCGACACAAGGCAACACATCAACGTTTCATTATTGAGAAATAGTTAAATTATCGCTTGAGTTGGACAGCAGCACCAGAAACGAGGAAACGAAATCAGCATGATTGACAGGAGCGGAGGCAGCAGCATCATTGATGAGCATGTGATAGGATAGGGTAGTGGGTCTGACAGTGTGCTGGGCCTGCCAGCAATCAGCCAGCAAATTTTCTTAAGCGACACATCGAAACTGGACAGTGGTCAGTTTTTATGGCAGCTCTCTTTCGCTGTATTGACATCGCCTTTCCTATGTGCTCGTAAGTATGTCATGTGGATGTGGTTGTCTTATCTCCGTCTGCTGCTCAACTGACCCAAGTGCGGGCGGTGCGACGAAAGCCTGTCGGACCATCATAAACTGACCATTCACTTTGATTTTCATTCATGCAGTTATCGTTCGTCTATCTGTCCATCTGTCCATCTGGGCGTGTGTGTACATCAATGGGCTTGCTCTAGGGGGATGAGGGGTCTGTTGAGTTTTATTGCTGTTTTGGCTTTTGCATTTACTCGTTGCTTGGGTGGCTATTGCTGGTGGTGGCTGGCCACAGACCCTTTCCTAATTTGTTTTCTATTTGGTACTAATTTCTTAATTTAACTCAAGCGTAGCGCATTGTTGTATTCCTCCATTGGTCATCATTAAGGCAAAGGCGATGCTGGTGGCGATTATTTGTATATACTTGCACATATGTACAAGTATATGCGTAAGCGTGTGTGTTTCATATTCCCTAGTGGACAATAAAACTTTAATTTTGATAAAACACATTAGATCTTTTGGACTTTAATTATAAAAGCAATGCAATTGGATAGCACTTTAAATACTTAACAATATTGAAAACGTTGGAGTTTATAAGCTTAATCATAATATTAGCTTGCACAATTGAAATAAATTTTGTTTTTAAACTGCAATTAATTGGCTTAGAGTAAATCCTCACACGCTCGTGTATTTCTTGCTAAATAATTTTAAACGTCACTTTGTATTATTTGTTTCTAAAAAACTCACAATCTTAAATTGTACTTTATTTGATTTTACTCGTATATATGTATTGTGTACAGTTTTCCACCCAACACATTAACTTATTAATATAATATGAAAATTATATCAAGATA